CCCTGGTTTTGTGGTTTTTTTTTTTTTTTTTTTTTGATGAAGTGGAGGGCTTATTCCTTGTTTGGTGAAGTGGGGTATTATTGCAGATGCAGTAATTCTATGAAATAGTCACATTGGTATTTCCCCAATGTTACTTCACCATATAAAAATGACAAGTATAGAATGAACTTTGGAAGCTTTTAGATCAGTAAGCTCCATCACCTCATCTTCCATTTATGGCATACTTTTCTTAGTATCACCAACCATATACTGTTGTTTTCTCCCAAAGTGAATTAGTAGAAGAAAAGGAGATTCTGAAAGGACAGGCAGAAAACCTAGAGGGTAAGTCACATTTCCATCATTTTGACACACAATTGCCCAGGCTCTTTCTTTGGAAAGTGGAGTAAGGCTGTGGTTGTGTCTGTGTTCAGAACATCCCTGTGGACTGCAAGTGGGAACGGCGGGTCACCAGAGGAGCCTGCTGGTCATCAACTTTGACCTGGAGCCAGAGTGTCCTGATGCTGAGCTTCGAGCCACTCTGCAATGGATTGCTGCCTCTGAACTTGGGATTCCCACCATTTACTTTAAGAAATCTCAGGAAAACAGAATTGAAAAGGTACTGTGTTCTATGTTCGAGGAGGATATCTGTAAAACATTGTGTTGTCACTGCCCACTCTATAAATGCCCTTCAGAATCTTGTTTGATCTTGCACTTTCTTAACCTCTGAATTATGGCTAGGATTTCTACACCTTCCACTTCCATAAATATGATCATAAATACTGGGGTACTTTTGTCGGGTAGAAGCAGTTGACCCTTAGTTTGTCCTGGCTACTTGGTGGCTAGAAGAAAACAAAATTGAAGAGATAGAAACTTTTCCTATGAGTCTGCTATTTTTTGTTTGTTTGTTTTGCATTTCCTTGCTCTGAAACCAACCTCTTCCTAACACTCATTTAAACAAAAGACTCAAGGAAGGAATCTGATTTATAATAGAAATCAAAGTGAGGTCACATTGATATTTAAAACATGCTATGGCATAGTACCAATGAAAAGGGTTTTTTTTTTTTTTAATGCAATTCCAAGCAGGCTTGCATTATGAAGACTTTCTCATTATCATTCTCCACCTACCAGAAATTAAAAGCTGGGTTAAGAGATTCTTGATCTGGACCAGCAGATGGCGTAGAGACTACTTCATTGGACTCCCACTTGGCCAGCTGTGTTCAAGTCCAGGACCCAGTGGCTTGAAACTTATTCCAGGCCCAAGATCCCAGCGGGAGAATAGAGGAGAAAGGATTGCAACGTGGCCATCCCCCCAAGGGATTATTTCTCACTCGCTGTCTCTGTCTCTCTCAGGCAAGCACACATACCCTAAGGCAAAAACCTCTAAAAGAAAAAAGAGGTCTTTGACCAAAATCAAAATTAATAGCATCACTCTAATTCCATATCTCTAAAACCCACCATGACTTAACTACTAAGAATAAGGCACAAATCTATCTACAATGTCTTCCAGCCTGTTTTTATATACTTTAAGAGTATACTCCTTTTAAAAGATTTCAAATTATTAATAATGTGGTTTCAGCAGTCTACTGTGGTATAACAAACTGCCACAAATTTATTCACCTCAAACAACCCCTCACACTTAAGTCAGAAGTTCACGTGAGTTCAACAGTAACATCTGCTCAGATCTTGAAAGACAAAAATTGAGGTGTTGGCCTGACTGGTCTCTTATCTGGAAGTCTCAAGAAAAAATAAGCATCCATGCTCATTCAGGTTATTGTCCTAATTCTGTTCCTTGTGGTTGTAGGACTGAGGTCCCTGTGTCCTCGCTAGCTCTCAGCTGGAGCTGCTCTCAGCCTCTAGGGGCTGCTCACCTTCCTTGTCATTTGTCCCACTCACGTTGTCATGCTATCAATCTCTCTAATGTCTTCTACTACCAGCCAGAGAAGACTGCTTTTAAAGGAATGGAGTGATTAGATTAAGTTCACCTAATAGCCTCCCTTAGAATTGAGTTACTCTGACTGTAACTCAACATTAACTGATGAATCCTTTCTACCATTTGAGGTGGCATAAGAACAGTATAATTCTTTTTTTTTAATTTAATTTAATTTTTTATAATTTTTTAATACACGTTCAATTACATTATTTAGAAAGGATTAGGGTAGAAAACTTCAGGGGCTACTTTAGGATCCCGCCTTTTATAGCTACCATGCACTCTTTTCATGTTTTATTGTCACAAGGTACCTCCATGTACCCCATCATACTTGTTTCTCAATGGTGCTTTGAAAAGAGCAGAATGAACACCATTGTCACACTCTTATAAAAGGCTTAAAGTGTATTTTAATAACTCGATGCTCAGGAAAACTCCAAGTGTACGGCATCAGAACAAATCAAGCATAGTGTACCAATAAAGAAACTGCACAACTAAGTTACAAGATAGGCAAAGAGCTACTGTCAGACCTTCAGATTACACAACCTTGTTCCGAAGGTTGTATTAGGCCAATCAAGAAAAGCTGTGAATGGGACCAGAAGATGCTGTACTGCCATGTAGTTGACCACAGTTCAAGTCCTGGACCTATCGACTTCAAACACACCAGGCAGGTGTGCATGCATGCCCAAAATGCTGACAGGAAAATGGAGGAGGAGGGATCGTGGCATGGTCATCCCCCCCCCCACCCGGGGGGAGGTGTAATTTCTCGCTTTCTGTCTCTCTCTGTCTCTCTGGTGAGTGCACATGCCCTCTAGCAAAAATCTCTCAAAGAAAGAAAGAGTTAGAGAAAGAAAGAAAGGAAGGAAGGAAGGAAGGAAGGAAAGAAGGAAGGAAGGAAGGAAGGAAAGAAGGAAGGAAGGAAGGAAGGAAAGAAGGAAGGAAGGAAGGAAGGAAAGAAGGAAGGAAGGAAGGAAGGAAAGAAGGAAGGAAGGAAGGAAGGAAAGAAGGAAGGAAGGAAGGAAGGAAGGAAGAAAGGAAGAAAGAAAGAAAGAAAGAAAGGAAGGAAGGGAGGAAGAAAGAAAAAAGCTGCAAGCAGCAACATCTGACACAAAGGGACCATTCCTGGATTGTCCTTACCCAAGGAAAAAATAGAGGCAAGTTAGCAGAAGATTTTTAAAAGATATACTAAAACGAAAATCTCTAAGAGAAAATGTCTTCCATAGTACACAAAGGAGTAACACGGAGTAACAGAACCACATGTACACTGTCTGTGACCTCTGTGGACATTTGCCTGAATTCTCACCTGGGAGTGAATAGAGCAATAGGGCTAAAGTCACTGGGGGATGTTTGGGCTTTGTGGTGTATGTGGCAATGTTACTGGGGTTCGTGTGTGTGGATGAGAAAGCAAATGTAACATGATGAATCAAAAGCAGAATGATCAAGATAATGGGCTTGACCTGGATCCATTTTGCCATGGTTTCCCCAAGCCTTCAACAATCTCATTTGGGACTTCAGGAATGCGCAACCCAGAGACAGACTAAACAATATACCATACAGAACTGCCATGTTAAATACAGCCCCTCTTTTGCCCTCTGCCTCCAGTGTTACTGGAGTAGTACAGGCAGGGAAGACCTAACTATTGGGAGAAATCCCCAACATTTTTCCAGGGTAGAATTCTGGCTAGCCCAAGAAAAAGTTTCTTCTTTTAAGGATTTTAGGAAGCTAGATACTGCAACTTTATTAGTATCAGCAACTTTTGTTTGGAGCAAATTCAGTTCCAGGAGCTGCACAAAGGCAGGAGTTCTGCCAGTTGTCCCATTTCCTTTCATTGTCCCATTTTTTTTTTATTTTTTATTTCATTTTCTTTTATACAGTCAATCACATTATTTAGTTTACAAAATGAATATTTTAACATGTGAACATTTCTCCCTAGTCCAGTTGACTAAACTTTAATATATCTTTAACAGAAATTGGCACCTTTTTTTGTCCCATTACTGCTTTTCCTTCTCATTTTTCTTCTAATTGTTCTTCCTCAAACCCTACTCTTTAACACACACTATATCTATATTTACATTCATTTACTGTGTTTTTATATCTTTTAGTCAATCATTTTTAGTCATAGAGTGCAGACACTTGGTATACATTAAGTGGAGACATACAATGCCTCTTCTTCATAGCCTAGTTTGCTTCACACAGCAGTAAATCTTCCACATTCATCCACTCTCTGTCAAAAGCCATGGTTTTGTTGGTTTTTTTATGGCTGAATAATATTCCACAGAGTATATGTGCCATAGTTTTTCAATCAGTTTATCTGTTCGTGGGCATTTGGGTTGGTTTCAAGTCTTGGCAATTGTGAATAGTGCCACAATAAACATCAATGTGCAAGCACTTTTCCAATTAAGAATTCTTTTTTCCTTTGGGTGGATACCATGGAGTGGGATTGTTGGATCATATGGTAGTTCTATTTGTAGATTTTTGAGGAATCTCCAAATTGTTCTCCACAGTGGCTGGACCAATTTACATTCCCAGCAGCAGTGTAAGAGAGTTCCCCTTTCACCACACCCCTGCCATTGTCCCATTTTTAATAAAGAGCAAATCAGGATTCAGAGAGGCCTGCATGTGAGAGATTCCTCAGTGGTGATAGCCAAGTCTAGTCCCTTTCTCTGGTGTGCATGTGTGCCCAAAGTCTCAAAAAGAAATGGAGAAAGGATTGTGGCATGGCCATCTTCCATGGAAGGTGCTTTCTCACTTTCTCTCTCTCTCTCTCTCTCTCTCTCTCTCTCTCTCCATTGAGCACTCATACCTTCTAGCAAATTTAAAAATAAAATAATAATAATATAGTAATAATAGGATTAGCAGGTGGCATGATGGTTATGGCTCTGGATCCTACATGGCTGACTCCACAGTTGGAGTTCCAAACCCCAAAACACTCCAGGTGTTTGCCTAAAACCCTGAGAGGGGAATGAAGGAGAAGGGACTGTGAAGTGGACAGTCTCTCTGGAGAGTGATTTGTCATTTTCCCTCTCTGTCTTTATCTCTCTCTGGCAAGTGCACATGCCTTATGGCCAAAAATAAATAAATAAATAATCATCATCATAAAATGGTTTTGCAGTTTAATTCTTTGTACCCAAATCTAGCAGCCTGTAATAAAATGTCATTTCTTGTATTGTCCATGCTCATGGTAATTAGAAAAGCTCCATCATCTCTATATCACCAGTCAATGGGATTCGCTACTAGAAAAACTGAGGAGATTCACTTCCCCCACTTCAATGTCTTTCTCTAATCAGTAATCTGTACTCCTTTTTTTGACCAGGCCTGCCTGTTAAGCCCTACTGAAATCTAGCTACCTTCCTATCCTGGTCATACCTTTGTTTGCAAAATGATGTATGAGTGACTCTTTACTAAATTCTCCTGCAACCTTACCGCCCTACCTGCCTGGTGCAGAGTAGAGTGAAAGAGCATAATTACATTGGACCTCACCCCATGCCATGTACTTTCTAAAGGACCTCTGCCATGGAGAGGGGCCTTAGAACTCAGAACACTCTTCAGAAGAATACATTGCCAGGTTCAAGGAAAAATGGAAGACAAGTTGGTTTCCAACTTCATCTTCAACCACCCCTCAATAATAGCATTACATGGTACATTTCAAAAGGTATCTTAGGAACGGGTCATTTTATACAACCTACCTTTGT